CACATGTGGTGTGGTAGGTGGGTGAAGCGGGGGGGAACCAAAATCCCCTTTTTCACCCTACTTAGGTCATACTTAGAGTACGCCCCTTTCGAGTTATACACAGATAACTCATCGCTGACTTATCTACACAAAGCGAAGGGCACAAACAGTAAGTTGACCCGCTGGGCGCTATACCTGGGTAACCTAAATTTCACCACGACACACGTACCGGGCAAACACAACGAAGCGCCCGACATGTTGTCACGTCCCGTCCGTTGGGTGACGTGACAACATGTTGACGAAGACGCCCTGGATGACAATTTGTTAGGCGCACCAATGTCTAGTCCGTCTGCAATCGCCGCCACTCTAGATAATATCTACTCCATTGCCGAGGCAAACGACGCGATCTGCGACCGACCCTTCACTGGTGGGATGGGGGGAAGTACGAGAGTGGCAAAACAACGACCAGTTTCTCTCTTCGGTCATAAAAAAATTAAACGCGCAACTCACCATAGCGAACGAAATACCGGACGTGAAACGTAAGGACGAATTTTTTTTGTTGGACGGTATTTTGGGTATTCGTATAGGCGCTGACACACCGGTAGTCGTTCCAACAGACAAAGTTCAACATATAATATGGCGGTACCACGACGACCCCCTATTATGTCACCCCGGATGGAGAGAAATCCCCCGAGTGGTTAAACAGCGGTTCTACTGTGTACGTAAAATCGTGTCACATTTGCGCGTGCACTAAGCCCTTAAACAGGCGCCCCGAAGACCCGATGGTCAAGCGCCAACCTAGACAGCCGTGGGAAGTAATCAGTATTGACCTTGATCATATACGAAGAAACACGAGACGACACTTAACGACTGAACACTGAAGAAGTGAAGACTTAACTAAAATTCTTTAATAAACTTAAAACTACAGAAGTACAATCTACAAATGTCGATGTACCGTCGTTCGTCATATTTACCCCAATATTGTCTTATCACATTTCCGGTCGGCCACGGTGGTCTACGGAAATTCCGAAATAACAATCAATACGCGCACTTGAATATTTTAACATACCTCTTACCTTTAAAAACAAAATTAAATTATATTATTCACAATTTATAAGTATATAAAATATACAATAAATGAGAAAAATCAACAAAATTGCAATTAAATAGTAAAAAATGATGAAAATTACAATAAAATTGAAAAAATTGCAAAAAGTTGCACTAAAAACTTTTAGATATAAATTCGAACTCGCATAAGATGAATTTAAAACCTACTTAAAAACAAATCCAAGCAATAGAAAAAAAATTGCAAATGCAACAACATCCGAGCCCTAATTATAACTTACATAATTGACAAGTTTAGTTAACAGATAGTTATTTCATTAAGAAAATTATTGATTGACAACAACTTTTGTTATCAAAAGTTATGTTACATTTATCTTAATGCAATTCTGTGCCTCGCAACTTAAACCCTACCAAAGTATCAAAACATCCATAATTCCTGAAATATTAGTTAATTATGTATGTTCCCATTAAAAAAACAGAGTTGGTACTCGCATAAAGGAAAATGGTTGGACAAAATAATTATTTAAACATTTAAAATGCGAGGAAAAATATTAATTAAATAAGCCAAAAAACAAAATTCCAAAATTATTACATAACAATAAATTTAATCAATCATATAGTCTTAACCGTCCTATTTAACTTAGAATTATTTGTAGGGGAAGACATTATTCAAACATCGAGTAGGTTTTGAGCATTTTAATTTAACATTTAATTATTAAGTGTGTAGTCCACATATTTTTACTTATGTGATCACAATACTTAAACTTGTTAAGTATTCGAATACTAGTATTTAAATTCATTTGGGACGTATTTGTATAAAAATATTAAATAATTTTTAATGTAACATGCAGCTAAATAGCTGCCTTAATCATTATGACTCCTTAAATAATGAAAATTATTATTCTTGTTAAAAAATATGTGTAAAATTTTGTGATTTTTGAAAGCACTTACTAAGAATTACGCCGATAAGAAACCCCAAAGGTATGAATTATACTTAATATTAGTGTATGTTGTCTGATCAACAAAAAAAAACTATTTTGAATAAATATCCAAATGTTTTTATGCTTCACAATACACTAATACTTAGTAGTACCCCAGTTGTAGTCTTCAGTGTATGTAATGTCATTTTAATAAGTCTCATTTTTCTTCTTAGGAAAATGAAAAAGTCGTGTTTTATAAATTAAACTAAATATTAATATAAAGAATAAATAGTTTAAAATTTTCAATGAAATAAATACATAGTTTTATTTTTTCGATAAAATTTGGTATTTTTAAAATTAAAAAATAAGAGTTATTTTATTAAGTATAAGGATGTCTAAAGACTTATATTTCATAATTAATTAGTTTAATAAAATTTTAAATAAGGAATAACTGTAATTTTTTGAGCATAAAAATCTTCTATTTTGTAAAAAAAAAGAATATTTGAAATACTTTTAAAAGCTATTTGTATTTTCAACAGAAGAATACTTTTCAATATTAGTATTTGAATTTGTATTTTAAATACATTTTAATAGAATTCTTAATAAGCCCGCTAATATTTCACTAAATGCACACACAAAATTCAAATAATTTATAAAAATACAAGTGAAATAAAAGTCAATTATTTTTAATCAATATATTGATTACATTTTTAAAATTTATGTATATAAAAATATACAACCATGGCTATCGAAATATTATTTAAAAATTGTTAGTTTTTTTATTTATTTTTACTAAATAATATTTTGATAGAAATGACTATTAGCTAGTAGAAATTGAAATATTCTTATTTTATCAATTTTTAAAAATTACTTTTTATTACAGTGGTAGATTTTTATTTAGAAATTAGATCTTAATACCTAGGCTTAAAATATAATATTTCACCTATCTTAAAATTATAATACTTATTTCGGTATCAAATACAAAATAATAGTACTCATTTAAGTTCTAAAAACTGTAAAAGTTCTTTTATTTTTAGTGACTATATCGCTAATAAAATAAGTTTATCTAATTAAAAAAGCTAATGAACTAAAAATTAGTTTATTTAACATTTTACTTTCTGATGGCTGTCTGCATTGGTGCACTACACATACTGTTACTACTACTACGCAACATAACGGTGTCTCAACAACAAAACAAAGAAATGTCGGTAAAATGTGACCAGACTTACTATCACATGCAACTACTAATTGAATCATATTTTAGCTTGATTATAAATTCAAGATGCTATGGTGTTTTAAAGTTTGATTTTGTGAAAATTTGGGTATAAATTTATAGTTTTTTACACTTAAATGTAGAAAAATATTTCTTAATTAAGTCATTGTAAAAGTTATTCAGGTTAAAAATTAGATTTTCCAGTATTGTATTACCTTCTCCGTATTTTTAACTATCTTGTGACATTCTATTATTATTTTTTTTTACAGTTATGATAAAATCTAAGCAAATATAAATGCTTGCACACATTCAAAAATGAAAAATACGCGTTATCAAAATAATTTTTAAGATCGGTTTCAAAATACTTAGATATAGGGACACCCTTTTTTTGGGGGTCAATTTTATAATTTTAATATGTGAAAGGTCAAGAGAAAACCAAGGTATGTTAATTTTATCAAAATTACAATTTTTGTGATCAATAATTTAAAAGTTTTTTGTGCCAGAAAACAAACAGGTAGGTGAACTGAAATTTGGATTAAAATAATTGAGTGTTGGCCAAAATCGTTACATTCCTTGTTCTTTTTCTGTTTTGACTCGACTATTTTGTACTCTATCTTTGACTTACTTAATGACATAACATAGATAAATTAGATAAATATTAATTGAAAATATTATATACATTAATTTTGTTCTTATATACAGGGTGGCCCAGCACTACTGACAAATTAAATAACTTTTGATCCAGTTAATATTTTTAGCTGATTTTTTTTTAATAATAGTTATACGTTAGGTCTTTAGCTATATCACAATAGTTAATTTTTTTACATTTTATTAAAAATATTAANACGTTAGGTCTATAGCTATATCTCAATAATTAATTTTTTTACATTTTATTAAAAATATTAATTATTTTTAAATTTTAAATAAAATGTAAAAAAAAAATCTAAGATAGCTATTTTGTAGAATAGAATTTAAGAAAAATTTTAGTAAAAAAATATCTTATTAATATTCAGTAGTAAATATTCTGTAGCATTTTAAAGTTCGTAAAAATTTGAATTTTCATGTATAATTTTACGGTATTAAACAATGAAATACGTAGTGAGAATAGGACAGAAGAAAACGCTATCTTTTCGTGATTACTATAATTTGGAAGTGTGTAACTTTTTACATGAAAATGACTTATACTTTTGAATTTAATTATGTTTAATTTATATTAAAAAATCTATCTAAAACAATTTAAAAAAATTAAATGTAAAATATTTTTAACATTTAAATGTATAGTACTACTCCAAATTTATCATGTACTTGTCGCATAGATCAAAAAAATATATTTAAAAAAAAGTATTATAGTTGTATACTGATAGTGATATTGTTAAGTTGTTTTTTTCTATCAAATATTTGTATACGTACGCTTGTATTAGTTTTAAAATTTGCTTAATTAGACATAACAATAAAATTTGTGTTAGTTTTTTAAGCACATAGTCAGTGAGAAAAAATGATTTCTTTATGAAATCAAATGTAGAAATACTTTTGTCTATCATGTCAAAAAGGTTTATGAGCTATTTCCGAATTAAAACTACTAATTTCACATTTTTTAGCTGAAATTAATGATCTTAAAAATAGTAGTGTATCCTGTACTAATTTTGAAGAGTTTATAATAAGCGAATTAAATTTGAGTACCTCAAAATCATCTACTTTTAATGTTCTGAAATCTACTACAGATGAAATTGCTGATAGAATTAGACATGTAGACATTAGACAATGAATATTTGGTTTCTAATGTTAGTAGTGTCATTGTCAATGAATCCTCTATCAAGCAATATTAAAATTGATACATTTGGTTTAACATATTACATGTTACAAATTCAAAATCCTGCCCTGACTATTTAAAATTGTGTTACCTACACCATATGATGCATTTAAAATATTAAGAAATACATATAAATTACAATCAATACATACTTCGTTTGTAGTCTTTATCAGTTTTAACTGCACAATTTTTTTAATAAATTACTTGATTTATATACAACGAGTTATATTGTACATTTTGCTATATTTGATCGCTTAAGAAACAAACCCAACTATCTTACATTTTGGTCAAAATGCGTTAGTAATATAATATTTAATATTTCCCAGGTATTTGAATAAGATCTCAAATTTTTTATAAAATCAATAAGCATCGCTGTAATCAAATAATAAAAAATCATCACAAGTACTTTAAATTACATAGAAAACTATTTTTCCTCACCAATAAAATTAACAAAAATGATATAGATGTGTTGCTTCTTAATCAAAGATTTATCGACTATTTTAAATTAAATTCTATGCCAAAACAATAGTTTTTTTCATTATATGAATGTTGAAGTTCAGTTTTTAGACTACTGAAACTTATGGTAACATTTAAAATGAATTACTTAAATTAGAATAACTATAAGAAATTAATGTTACTAATAAAATTAATTACTAATTAATAACAATCAATTATTAATTCACATGTTCTTTTAATTGAGGTTGTTGATTGTATAATTTTATATAAAACATAATAAACAAATACAAAAATAAAGTGAGATCAGCGATTACGTACATCACAAATAATTTAGGAAACTTGTAATCAAACACATACAATGCTGCTTCATATGTCATTATTATAAGAAATTAAACCTTTAAAAAATATAAAATAAACATATTACAGTAGAACTCCAATTATCCGAACTCCGATCATCCGAATCGCCGATTATCCGAATCACTTTCAGAAAAAATCAGAATTTACGTACATCACAAATAATTTAGGAAACTTGCAATCAAACACATACAATCCTGCTTCATATGTCATTATTATAAGAAATTAAACCTTTAAAAAATATAAAATAAACATATTAATACAATAAATGTTATATTTCAGTAGTATATTTTTAACTAACAATTTGCATACGAGTCAAATACTTTTTCCGTCACAAATATTTTTGCATATGAGGTCCTAATGCTGATAAGAAGTAGTAGCTATACATAATAACATGGATAAATGAATTAAGAAGACCACCGAAAAGTAATTGTTCACCTACAAATAAACATGTGTACATATATATTTAAATAACTATATTTTCACACATAAAAAGGAAAAATATACTAGAAAATATCATTCAACTTTATCATACTATCTTATTAAATACATCATTTTTGCTCACCCTTATAAATTCTATAAAATTATTTCTTACCTTTTATAAATTTTAAATATGCCCAACATGTTNTTACCTTTTATAAATTTTAAATATGCCCAACATGTTATTGCCATAATTACATGATGATAGGCATGCAAAGAGGTAACTCGTGATTGTTTTTTCCTTATAACGAAGAATATCTGAAAAAGTGTGTAACCAGTAATTTTATATTTAAATATTAGATTTTATTTTAGTATTATTATATTAATATTGTTCGAAAAAGTTACCTTAAATTTCTATGGTTAAGGATATCACATTTTTTTTGATAACATTTGTGGAATAAATATACATTATTTATTACAGACAACTTTATTATATACAAACAATTTTTAAATAAATATAAATTATTAAAATCGGGATACCCTTTTTTATTAATATAAAACCAAATATTGAAATACAGTTAAAATTATACATTATTTATAACA